GAGAAACAAAGAAAAAATAAACAAATAGAACTACATCAAATTAAAAAGCTTCTACACATAAAAAAAATAAAAATAAAAATAAAAAATAAAAAAACAGGATCAAAATGAAAAGGTAACCCACTGTATGGAAGAACATATTTGCCAATGATACATCTGATAAGGCGTCAATTTCCAAAATATATCAAGTATTCAAACGTCTTAACAAAAAGAAGACAAACAACCCAATTTAAAAATGGACAGAAGACCTAAATAAACACTTCTCCAAAGAGGACATAGGAATGGCCAAGGAACATATGAAAACATGTTCAATGTCACTAATAATCATAGATGCAAATTAAAATGACAATAAGGTGTCATCTTACACCTGCCAGAATGGTTATCATCAATAAACCAACAAACAACAAATGAGAGTGTATGGAGAAAAAGGAACCTTAGTACACTGCTTGTGGAAATGCAAACTGGTGTAACTACTATGAAAAGCAGTGTGGAGTTTCCTCAAAATATTAAAAATGAAACTGCCATTTGACCCAGTGACCCCACTTCTAGGAATAGAGCCTAAGAAGCCAGATATACCAATCAGAAAGAATATATACACCCCTATGTTCATAGCAGCATTATTATTTTTTCTTCTTTTGAAAAATCTTTTATTGTTGAAAATATTCATAGCAGCATGATTTAAATAGCTAAGATCTGTAAACACCACTCAGAAAGAATACATGCACTCCTATGTCCAAAGCAGTGCAATATGCAATAGCTAAGATCTGGAAACAACTCAAGTTCCCCTCAGTAGATGAATGGATTAAAAACTGTGTTCCATTTACACAATAGAATACTATGCAGCTGTAAAAAAGAAGGATCTCTTACCCTTTGAGATAGCATGGAGGGACTTGGTAATTATTATGCTAATTGATATAAACCAGTCAAAGAAATACAAGTACCTCAGGAACCCACTTATTCATGGAATCTAATGAACAAAATAAACTGATGTATAAAAAAGATCCAGTGACATGGAAGCAAGCAACAGACTGGTGTATTTCAGAGGGAAGTGGGGGAGAGGCTGACAAGTGATTAGTCAATGAATTTATATGCACATATGCATAACTAATGGACAGACAAATAAGACCTAGGGAGGGGATGGGAACATGATTGGAGGTGGTAAATGAAAGTAAAAGGGGGGCATCTTTAATACTCTCAACAATAAAGGTAAAGTTAAAAAGTAAAATAAAATGGCATTAGAATCTGTAGTGGTCTTTTTCTTATTTCTGTTATTTATTTTTTTACAAGCCACTTAAGGATTTATCAATTTATCAACCTTTATAAAGTGGTGTAGTCTTTTGTTGATCCTTTTTATATTATGTTTATTTTAATGTCATTAATTATATATTATGTTTATTTCAATGTTATTAATTAATCCTCATATTTTTATTATTTCCTTCTACATTCTTTGAGCTTTATTTACCATTTGTAATTGTTTGATATGGGTGAGTGCATTACTGATTGATTTTCATCTTGAGTAATAATATCAAATGCACACTTTAAAAATATATATCATATATGGAGAGATACAGAGACAACTGAACAACTTTTCAACTTTCTAAAGTTTGATGGCAATAGATTAATGAGGAGTGCTTTCATGATAATATTATATTTATTTTCTTATCAAGTGGTTTTTATATCTTATGATGAGTATATGAATGATTCCATAATTACAGGAACATAATGTTGTCGCATCTTTCTGGTTTTTGTACAAAAATAATTTTAGCACTACTGGCTTTCAGCAGAGAGAAGGAAATTCAGGCTTTAATCAAGGACAAATAACATGATGTACAAATAATGGAAATGCCCTGGATAAGACCTTATACAATAATTCCAATGAGACATAGCAGTGGAAATTGCATGTTTAATCAGCAATTTGACAAAAAAATTATTATTCGTATTATATTTTGCAGATAAAAATATCTATCACATTGTGTTCATACTATCAACCAATAGTTATACAAAATCAAACAACTTGTTTGCTGGGATTTGCTGAATAAAGCCATCCCATATGCCTTTACTGTATAATATTTATACATAGGACTTGCTGTACAAACAGTCCTATCATTTACATAATGTTGCCACATCTTTCTGGTTTTTATACAAAAAATAATTTTAGCACTACTTGTCTTCAGCAGAAAGAGAGAAAGATTTTCAGTCTTTAGTCAAGGATACAACTGCAAAAAGTAGTTGTTGTTGTTGTTGTTTTTTTTTTTGTTTGTTTGTTTGTTTGTTTTTTCAGAAAGTAGGCATTTTGGAGACTGTGGATGTGTTCTGTATCCTGATTATCCATGTGCTACCATCCATAAAACTGCAATAAAATTCTAATTTTTAATGCATGTTCATTTAAAAAATGAAATAATTTGAGTGTCACTTCTGGCCTTGGTGAAAACAGACAACTTCTCTTTTTAAACAATGGCTGAAACACCTGTTTTTATATCTGGGATAATGGCAAACACCCTTAGGGGAGAGAAGAGTAAAGAACAAGGTCAGTCACACAATTGTGTCAGCCTTCTGTCTGAAGGAAACTTGCAGATCATTGTTTGGGTAATTGATCAGAATTGAGGAGGTAGAAATGGAAGTTCAGGGAGACTGAGGCAGCTGGAAGCCATAATGTAGAGCTCTGGACAGGATAAAATGTTTTATTAAAAAAGAGCTTGAGCCGGCACTGGTTTGGCTCAGTGGATAGAGCGTCGGCTTGTGGACTGTAAGGTCCCGGGTTCGATTCTGGTCAAGGGCATGTACCTTGGTTGCGGGCACATCCCCAGTAGGGGGTGTGCAAGAGGCAGGTAATCGATGATTCTCTCTCATCGATGTTTCTAACTCTCTACCCCTCTCTCTTCCTCTCTGTGAAAAATCAATAAAATATATTTAATAAATAAATAAATAAATAGCTTGAGAACAATATATAGGGCCATCCTAGACCAGCTGAACAATGTGCCATGTAAGGGGGGACATTACTCCGTGAAGCCAGCAAATAAACAGGAGCTGTAAGCTAAACCGATTCCACAACCCAAAAAGGGTGCCTAGTTGCCTGAACTCCATGCAACCTTTTCTTCCCCCCACTTTCTTAAAACTGTGCAGTCACTGATCCTAGAGCTCAACAAACCTGAATAAAGATAAATAGGAAGAAATTACCGAAAGGTACAGACATCACAACCAAATTGCTGAAAATCAATTATTGAAAGAAGCCTGGGGGAAAAACAATACAGTATATACAGAGATACAAAACTTCACTGAAGAGCAAAATTTTCAGGAATTAGATAAGCTAGAAGGTGACCGAATGACATAAAGGATTTGAGAAAAGGACAACTAAAATCATATATTCAGCAAAACTATCTTTTAATGTAGCCTAGACTGCCCTGGCCAGTGTGGCTCAGTTGGGTGAGCATCACCCCCATGCACCGAAAGTTTGCCTATTCAATTCCTACAGTTTGTGATGCCACCAATTCCAAAGATAGTTTCCAGGTCCCTTGGATTCTAACCACTTCTGTTGAGAAGGAAACCCCTATTTGTAACAAACTGCTGTTTGGAATTTTCTGCTGTTATTCTTAGGTAAAGTGTTGCTTTCTAGTCTGCTTTAGCCTGTTTGAAGAAAGATGATAATAAACTTAGCTGTATGACCTTGTAGGCCAGAGACTAGATATGACCATAATCTTAATGCCATGCCAGGTGCATTTTTTAATTGGATAGAATTGTATTGTTTTCAAGGCCAGCATCAAGATAACCACTAAATGCACATAGGGCTGGCTCTTTAATAAAAAGGGAAGTTCTGCTTGTAGCTTTGCTTAGAATTTGAAATCATTTTCTCTAAGCCCATCGCACGATGAATAAACTAAGTCTCTCCAAACTCTCTTTCTGCATTGTTTGATTGTTCGGGAACTCTGTAACACTGTCTGAAAATGACACACATTAATTTATATCTGATCCCTTGGGCTAGCTGGGGTCCCATAACCTTACTTAACTGCTAGAGAAGGGATCTAAAAATTATAGGGGCACACGGATATTCAGTGAATAGTCAGGGTCTCCAACCCTGCCTCTTGGTTTTGTATGATCTTAGCAAATTACTTCATCTTCATCTGATTTGCTTATCTGTGATCTGAGACTATTTGATGAACTGAGTCAAGTGAGATTTCAGTGTAAGAGACTCACAGAGGGTGTAACTGGCTTCACTCCATATGCTGAATAAGCTTGTGCAACTTTCTGAACTTTCCTCTGTCTGTTTACTGCTCTCTCACATGATAGTAATACTTCTGAGGACTAAATAAAATTTAAAAGTTTTGGTAATCTGACTCAGATACAGAGTTAAGTGCTCAAAAACGGTTAGCTATCTTTATGATTGTGGCATAATTTTAACATAATTAGTATTACTTGCTGGCATTTAAAATTGTAGCAAGACAGCCAAACCGGTTTGGCTCAATGGATAGAGCATCAGCCTGCGGACTGAAAGGTCCAGGGTTCAGTTCTGGTCAAGGGCATGTACCTTGGTTGCTGGCACATCCCCAGTAGGGGGTGTGCAAGAGGCAGGTAATTGATGATTCTCTCTCATCGATGTTTCTAACTCTCTACCCCTCTCTCTTCCTCTCTTTAAAAAAATCAATAAAATATATTTTAAAATTGTAGCAAGACAATCAAATGTTATAATCCTGTAAAATGTAAGTGATCCTACCCATCCTGCTTTGTGAAAGCTCTCAATACTTTCCAAAGATTTGTTTCTTTTCTGTCTGAGATGTGTTATTGGAATCATATACCGGGTTTGTGGAATTTTCCTCAGGCCTTAAAAAACAATTAATGAAAGTATTCTGCACCTCATAATATGCAAAAAAAAGCTGTTTGCTTGACTACCTAGCCACCCAGTCAGGATGTTGGACAAGACAAAACTTGCAGTTTGTGCTGTATGTTTACAGTGATCTTTGTCCTCCTACTGTTTATTTCTGAATAGCCAATCAAACGACACAGGGAGCAGTGGAGATTGTGTTCAGGAAGTTAAGTAACATTTTCTGATAGGTCCAAACCTGGTGAGGAAAGTTCCGTCTCTGAATATTTCAAAGTGTACTTGCTGTGCTGACAAGAGGAGCAGACGGGAAACAGCATGGGAAGAAAGATTATTTTGCTCCTGTTGGTGGGCATTTTCACGGCATATTATGTTTATACACCTCTCCCAGATAATATTGAGGAGCCATGGAAAATAATTGGGTTCACCCTCATATTTAAAACTTTAACAAATGTGGTAAGTATAGAATTTTATTGACTCCATATCTAACAGTTTAATCGGGAGAAAATTCCCGTTGTATTACTTTTAACAACTTCTACTGTCTTGGACATTTTGCTCTTTAAGTTTGCTGATTTTAAAATATTTTTTTATATTTAACTATCCTTTAAGGCTGGCCACTAGCATAATGAAAATGAAGGAAGTGGCCAAGTAGTTTTGATTTTTAAATATTAAAGGACAAAATGTGTCAGCTGAGAAAAACAAAAAAGTCTTCTTGTGAGTTTCATGGCATGAACACAGCCAGGAGGAAGCATGTTAAAGCATGAACTACAGAAATTGTAGGACTGAGCAATACAGAATGCTATGCAATGATCTTGTATTCAGACACAAAAATAAATTCTTACTGAGATTTTTGGGAAACAGGTCACTGGTAAAGGCCAGGGAGATGTGTGGTGTCCACTAGATGGTGAGCTGCTGGGGTGACTTAGGCTGGCTAGCTGCCCACCATGGCTGCTCCTTAAAGACCTATGGTTCTTTCTGAGTGAAGCTAATTACCTAGAAATGAAACCACTCATTATCTTCTTTAATCTTCTCGGTAGCAATTTGCCTATAATAATTCAAGGACAATTGGCCTGACTAATAAAACTCTTGGCTTTTTATCTCTTTCCTTGTCTCACCCCTCCCTTTTTCAAGGTATTTGAACAATCTCTTTTGGCATATAATGTAGCTTTGAATCAGTGCAGTATGTAACATAGGCACTATTTCTCAGCTGTGATCATCAGCTATTTATTTCCTTAGCTGATAGATCTTTGTATGACTGAGGTATGAAAAACAATTTTGTCCACACACTGAGGCATATAAATTCCAGAGTTGGTCAAAATTTTCCCTCTTGATTATTCGATATTTCAAACTCATATCAACAATTGCTTTTGGGTTTTGGAATCAGTATAAAGAGAGTACGCTGGTCTGAGATATTAATCTGCTTCTCTAATTCACCACACTTCACTAAAAAAAGAGTCAAAGATACTTTAAAGACCTTAATTATTTATTTCAGACTGCAAGAGACACTGAGCAATAGTTTTAGGCCACACTGGTGGCTTTTAGTCTTCAGTTTTCTATTAACCAAACTTCCTAGTAGAATCTAAAAACTTGTGCAATTGTAAAGTTACATTAAAAATTTCATACTTTGTACTTTCTTATACAACATTGCAATTTGTATTGCATAACTAAATTTATGTCCTTAAATTGCATAACTTTGTACCATTCTCTGCCATTTAAAAAAAAAATTTAAAACAGACTTATTCTTTCAAGATAAATGACTTGAGTCCAGTAATAAATGTTTTGAAAGATGGTCTTGCAGTATCTGTACTTAACTTTCATTTAAAGCCAGAGGGCCAACTAAATTGGCATAACCTACTTTTGTGGGATACGCATTGATATCTCCTCTACGTCAGAGGTTGTAGAAACTTTAAATTTATTTGCTAAAATTAAGTAAATGCTATCACCTGCATCTCAACTTTCTGTGTTAACAATTAAAATCAGCCTAATGTTTATGTGATTTCTTCAAAATCTCACTGTTAATTGGTTGGAGTGCTTGTGCAAAACTCACACTGGGCAACATGGGGAAACATAATGTGATACTGCAGAGATAAAGAGCACAGATGATGGTCCACTGCAGGTAGGAGTCTCCACCCCTTCTGCCACTGCAGAGAGGAGCAGGTGGAAGATACCCCCATGCTGGGGCCTGGTCAGCATGTGGAGCTCTCTCTGTGGGTGTGTGCGTGGGGGGGAGGGTACCCACAATGTGGAAACGACACCTAGAACAGTCTTAATAGCTGGAGTAGCCAGTCTCCTGAGGCTTGTCAGGCAGACTAAGCATTTGCCTTTCACTCTCATCTTCATGAATTCTACTCCTCTGATGGTAAGTGCACATGAGGACAGCCATTTCTGGAAGGTGTGTGCTTTTCTGTGAGTCTAACTTCTACAGTTCCTTTGGGACAGCTGCCAGGCAACAGTAAGGAGATGTATTTGTTTGCACTTGAACATCAACTTGGGTGGAGCATGAGTGGGCTGGGAAATGCACCTGGCTTGGGGAAACAATACCCTTCCACTGGACCCTGATCCCATAGTCCGCATGTTTTGAAATTATGAGTGAAAGCATCGTCTTTTTGATATTTGACCACCCAATGTGATAGGTCTTTCATGATTGGCTCACACTCACTTTCTGGGACCCTGTTTACTTCATGCATCCCGGTGCGGACCTGACTTGTAGCTTTACTAAATTACCTGAATGTCTCTAATTGTACTAGGAGTGTCCCTGTTCCTTTGGCCTAGAAAGAGATTTTCTCCTTTGTTCACCCGAACTTCCCTCTCTGTACTCACAGCAGAGTTCACATAGTGTTTGAAACTTTCTCCCTCAGGTCTCATGACCTGGCAAGTATCAATAGTTTACCTCTCTAGTGACTTTTGCCAAAGTTCTTGTACATGTCTCTGAGATGGGCAGCTATGTTGTTTCATAACTGCTTTTGTATCCATTCCTCCCACTTGACTCCGAGTTTATTTAGAGTAGAAAGTGTACATTGTTTACCTGTGTACTCGAAGTAAGAAGCATACATGTGATTTCAGCCTGGCTGGTGTGACTCAGTGGTTGAGTGTCAACCTATGAACCAGGAGGTTTGATTCCTGGTCAGAGCACATGCCCAGGTGATTGGCCTGATCGCCAGTGTGGGGAATGCAGGAGATAGCCAATCAATGATTCTCTCTCATCATTGATGTTTCTCTCTCTCTCCCTTTCCCTTCCTCTCTGAAATTAAATATATATTTTAAATGTACTTCAAAGCTCATAGTAAAGTGAAGCCTAGATCCTTCCAAGTTGTAATATCTCAAGAATTCATTAAATATCTTTTTTTTTAATATGAGGCAACTATTATGGTAAAGATTCTGTGTCATTCAGATTCAGCTGTGGTAACAAGACACAGGGCTTTTGGGAGCATAAGTGCATACTTCTATGTTCATAAACAGCACTGGCACTTGCTGTTTGTAACTTGGATGGTATGTGTTTTCTTTCTTTCCTTTTAGGCCCTGGTTGGTGAACTCCTGGGAATCAACCATTTCATGAGCACTGTAGTGTTTTTCATGAGCTTTCAAGATGTCCCACCCACATCTGATGAAACTGTTACTGTGTTGGACACAACTTTCAGCAATGTTCCTGTCCGAGTATACATACCAAAGCGCAAGTCAGAGGCGCTAAGAAGGGGCTTATTTTATATTCATGGAGGCGGTTGGTGTTTGGGAAGTGCTAGTAAGTTCCCCTTGTTGCACTTTTATTTTATTTTTTATCATAGAGCATATATTTTATTAACATGTTTTCTCTGACATATCTGGTGAACATTATCACAGAAACAGAATACCTCAGCTGTCTGAAATTTCTTTAGTTGGAATTATGTTAGTTTAAAAATTATTTTGAATTCATTTCTCAAAGGAAATAAATATTCAAAGCTGTAGCAAATTTCAGATAAGGAGAAAAACTTTCGTGAACGTAGAAATGTATTATTAAGATTGTTAATTGCAAATATGATGGAATGTTGTAATGGAAACCAAAATTAAATTAGTTGAAGTGTGGAGGAGAAGTGAGGAAATGAAGATGGCGATGCAGACTTTTAATAAATTTAGGAAAGATGAGGTCTCAGATAGAAAAGAAGCATAGGGTTGAGTAAGTGTACTTTATTTTCATTTTATGAAAAATATATGTACAGCCCTGACAAGTTTGGCTCAGTTGTTTGGAAGGTCTTCTCATGCACTGAAAGTTTGCCTGTTCAATTCCCTGTCAGGGCTCATACCTAGGTTATGGCTTTGACCCCTGATAGTAGTACATATAAAAGGCAAGGAATCAATGTTTCTCTCATACATCAATATTTCTCCCTCTCTTCCTCTCTCTATTCTTTCTCTCTCTTTCTTCCTCTTCCCCTATCTCTAAAATCAGTAAAAATAAAAATATGCTTGGGTGAGGCTTAACCAAAATTAAAATTCACATTTTATCTTATATACTTCCTATATTTCTACAAATATATCTAAAATATATCATTTCATTAAATGTAATATAAATTTTATATCTTATATAAATGTTATACCTACATTAATAAAAGAGAAACATGCAAATTGACCATCACTCTGCTATATCCACCAGCCAATCAGGAGTAAATATGCAAATTAGCTCAACAAAGATGGTGGCAGCCATGGAGCTGGAGCAAGCAGGAGGCTTGGGTTTCCCCTAGTGATAAAGGAAGCCAAACTTCCCACCCGCCCTGGCCGGCCCTGGTCTCCTCTCAAGGCTACAAATTTTCAATTATAGAAGATAAATAAATCCCAAATACCTGGTCTCTGCTCTAGGAGGCACTGATAAAAAAGAAAAAGAAAGAAAGGAGAGGCTGGAAGCCTGGATCATCGTGGAGCATGGCCAGCCTAAAAACAGCCTTCAGCTCCTAACCCAGGCTAACCACACTCCCATGGGGTACGGTTCCCACTGGGAAGCTTGGCCAACTTTAAAACAGCCATCAGCCCCTCCCCCAGGTTATACCCCCACCCTGAAGGAGGTATGGCCAGCCTGAAAACCACCACAGGCCCCTCATCCAAGCTGCCCATGCCCCAAGGGAATCCCCACCCTAATCTGGGACACCCTTCAGGGCAAACCAGATGGCCCCCACCCATGCACCAGGCCTCTATCTATACTAATAAAAGGATAATATGCTAATTAGACTGGAATACCTTCCAGGAGACTTTCTGGATGTTCTTCTGGACAAAGCCATGGTGGCAGGGCCAAGGTAGAGGTGGTTAGAGACCAAGAGGGGAGGGTAGTTGTGGGTGATCAGTCCAGTACTGAATGGCAGTTGTGGGTAATCAGACTGGTGGGAGGTGGGGCCATTGGGGGTAAGCAGACCAGCAGGAGGGCCAGTTGGTGGTGAGCAGGCCTTCAGTGGGGGACAGTTGGAAGTGATCAGGACAGTGGGGGGGTAGTTTGGAGTGAGCAGGCCAGCAGGGGGGCAGTTGGGGATGATTAGGCTGACGGGGGGGAGGGGGCATTTGGGGGCAAGCAGGCCAGCAGGCAGAGTGGTTAGGGGCAATCAGGCAGGCAGGCTAGTAAGTAAGGGGTTAGGAGCCAGCAGTCCCGGATTGCAAGAGGGCTATCCAACTGCCAGTTTAGGCCCTATCCCTGTAAATAGGCAATAAGACATCCTTTGAGATTGGAGAGGGTGCAGGTCAGGCTGACAGGCTGAGGGACAACCCTACCCCATGCATGAATTTCATGCACTGGGCCTCTAGTCTTATATATATTTATGTTTAAATACATATTATATTTATATATGGAAGGTCTATGAAAATGTTTATAAGCTGAAGGTAAAGAAAGCAATAAATAGCCCTAACCGGTTTGGCTAGATTGAGCAAGGGCCTAGACTGAAGGGTCCCCAGCTTAATTCTTGTCAAGGGAATGTACCTTGGTTACAGGCTCAATCCCCAGTAGGGGGCAGGCAGGAGGCAGCTGATCAGTGTTTCCCTCTCCATGTTTCTAACTCTCTATTCCTCCCCCTTCCTCTCTGTAAAAATCAATAAAAATTTATTTTCAAAAAAGAAAAGAAAAAGATAACAGTAAATAGAAGTGTGTTGAAATGTGGGAAGAGACACAGGAGGACAGGATAAAGTTTGCCTGACCTACAGGATGTTAGAGGGAACTGGACTCCTTACAAAAGGGAGTATTTATATCACACATGGAGAGAAACATAATTTTCTCTGTTATGTTTTCTCTCTCTGTTTTCAGGAGGGAAATAAAAAAGAGGTGTTGATGAGTACTGATATAGATTAGAAATGTAAATTGGAGCAGTAAAGGGTGTGATGCTAACATTTTGTATAAATTCAAGCAGTGAAGTCATCAGCTGGCAATGAAGTGATGTTCTAAGACTAAATCTAAAAAATAAAAATAAAAATAAAAAACAGACTCTGCCACGATGCCATGCCTCAGTTGGTTTCCATGAGTTCCTGCTGCTGAAAGCAATCCCTTAAAAATCTTTCCATCAATGTTTCCCTAAAGAGTAAACAAAAATTAAAATGCACATTTTAATTTATTTATGTAGTTCCTATATTTCTACAACAATATAGGTTTTTCTAGCTGATTTTGCTCAGTGGATAGAGCATAGGCCTGTGGACCAAAGAAGCCTGGGCTTGATTCCTGTTAAGGGCCTGCACCTTGGTTACAGGCTCCTCCCAGCCTGTGGCCTGGTGAGGGTACATGCAGGAGGCAACCAGTTGTTGTGTTCTCTCACATCAATGTTTCTCTCTGTTTTTCTCCCTCTTTTCTACTCTCCCTAAAAGTCAATTGGAAAATATCCTCAGGTGAGGATTAATAACAACAAAACAAAAAAGAGGAGGAGCATGCTTATAAAGGGGGAAAAAAACTAAATAAGAATTATCTCTGAAGCAAAATAGTATTTGCCTGATGCTTTCTCTTTCAATATATATATATTTTTTTAAAAACCTATAAAAATGTGTGTCCTAATCCAAAATACAAGCATGACTTTGTATAGTAAATGTTAAACAAAAGTTCAAAATTTGGTGTGTCTTTTATATTTTAAGAATATTCAACACCTGCCCTGACCAGTTTGGTTCAGTGGATAGAAGATCAGCCTGGAGACTGAAAGGTCCCAGGTTCGGTTCTGGTCAAGGACATGTACCTTGGCTGCAGATATGTCCCCAGTAGGAGCTGTGCAGGAGGCAGCTGATCGATGTTTCTCTCTCATCAATGTTTCTAACTCTTTATCTCTCTCCCTTCCTTTCTGTAAAAAAATAATAAAATATATATATTTTTAAAAAGAATATTCAGCACCCAACTTTGGCAACATCATAAGAAAATGTCTAATCCTCTTTTTATGGTCCATAGGATGTACATTTTGTGACAACTTTATATGCTATTATTTCTCATCAGTACTTTATGATCTCTCCCTCCTTTTGTTACTGGAAAATCCTATTTTATTTTCTTAAACACTTTTTAAGTGCCAAAGGAAGCATTTTTCCAAGCACAATAGCAAACATGTGTGACTCCTCCCCACTCGATCCATATACGTGGCCAAAATAACCCCAGAAAATACATGTCTTCTCATCTACCTAGGAAAAATGAATGCCAAAATCGGGTCTCAGCTCTCCCTATTTCCTTTTACTCTTCTTTAACATGCTCTGGCAATTTTGATGAAAGCGAATACTATTCCACAGAGCACTATCTCTACCCCTCCATTAAAGCAACTATTATATTCCTTTTAGTATATATGCTTGATCTTCCCAGCTCCTGTCTCCAGTAGACTGTGATTTCCTGAAAGTCAGGAGGTATATTTATGTTTATTCTTTTAACACTTAACAACTGCTGATTGAAGAAAGCACAGATTAATCTTGAAAAAAAAAGTGAAATTGCTTAAATTATACAGTGTAGAATGTGGGGAAGAGCAAAAAAAACCTGATAATGTACATGTAACAGGATCACTGAGCAAGAGAATTCATGCTCTGTAGCTGTGATGAAATATTAGAAATATTTTTCCAAAACATTCATGAAGAATGAGATGTCATAGTAGACTTTTTGCTGGGGGAAAAATGTCCATCAATTTATCAGTCTCTGATTATCTTTTCTTTTATTTCAGCTTCTTATTCTTATGATACATTGTCAAGACGAACAGCTGATAGACTTGATGCTGTTGTCATTTCAACCAAGTAAGAGCACTGTTGGTTGGTTTGGGTTTGGGCCAGGTGCCTTAGATAGTGAGATGTTTTCAGATGTTCTAATGATTCCCTGGTTATGCCAGGTGTGTTTCAAATGAAAATCAGAGGGTGAAAACAGAGAAAGTGAGCTTGGGCATGACCAGAAAAGAGACAGAGAACAGATTTGTAGAGTTGGGTCAAGTGGGGATCAAAAAACAGGATGTCAAGAAATTGTTAGAGCCCTAACCGGTTTGGCTCAGTGGATAGAGCATCGGCCTGCAGACTCAAGGGTTCCAGGTTTAACTCCAGTCAGAGGCATAAATCTTGGTTGTGGGCACATCCCCAGTAGAGGGTGTGCAGGAGGCAGCTGGTTGATGTTTCCCTTTCATCAATGTTTCTAACTCTCAATCTCCTCTCTGTAAAAAATCAATAAAATATATTTTTTAAAAAAGGAAGTGTTAGAATAAAATTAAAATATTAAATTTTATTGACAAATGATTTGTTGGATTTCCCACCTACTTTTAGTTTGCAGAATGAATAAGGAGGGCTTCAGTACCAGAGAATCAAGCTCAAAATTTGGTTCTAGAATTTACTGAGTGACTGTGACAGTTAAATCTCATTTTAACTCCATTTTCTCATATGTAAACTGGGCATTATATAATATTTCCTATGTCATAGAGTTATTTTGAAAATCAAATAATAAACTATGTTTAAAGCAATTAGTATAGTATATATATATTTAAATATGTTTTATTGATTTTTTTACAGAGAAGAAGGGAGAAAGAGAGTTAGAAACATTGATGAGAGAGAAACATCAACCAGCTGCCTCCTGCACAACCCTTATTGTGGATTTGCCCACAACCAAGATATATGCCCTGAGCAGAATCGAACCTGGGACCCTTGAGTCCACAGACTGGCACTCTATCCACTGAGCCAAACCTGTTAGGGCAGTATAGTATATTTTATGGTATAATCCTTCATCAAAAGCCAGTAGTTACTAAATAACATGGGAATACAGGCATAGTCTATTCTAAAAAGCATTCTAGACCAATAATCAATAATAGAAAATGAAAAAAAAATAGTATTGATGCATGGCAACTTGATCATGAGATTAAGTTGGCATAAAATAATTTCTAAGATTTGTTTAATATCTATTGGTTAGTAATAAAGTATAATGATTACAAAGAAAATAACATTCTAGGAGTTTAGTTAGTTATCATCTGGGATTTTTTTTTTTCTTAAACCCAATCCAGGTTTTGCATTCAGGCCATTACTCATGCAAAAATGACATTTATGAAAATTTTCATATCCAGTATTATCATTAGAATTAAGTCTGGCTTTGGATTCATAGCAATTCAAAATATATTTGTTAAAGAAAAATTTTACTTTTTATTTTGAGGCAATAGCATGCACACAAATGGGTATGTACTCACACACAGGCACACACACACACACACACACACACATTTTTATTATAAATATTGACTTAAAGTACATTGTTTTTCTACCCACAGCTATAGACTAGCACCTAAATACCACTTTCCAAATCAATTTGAAGATGTGTATAATGCATTAAAGTGGTTCTTACGCCAAGATATTCTTAAAGGCTATGGTGTAGATCCCAAAAGAATTGGTATTTCTGGAGACAGTGCTGGAGGAAATTTAGCTGCAGCAGTGACTCAACAGGTATGTTGCTTGGATTTGCTTCCTTTTTAAAAATGTATTATACTTAAATATATTTATTTCAAATATTAAAATATTAACTCAAATATGTTATATTAATACATTAGAGATACATAGAAATCATGTCAGAGAACATTAATATATCTAGTTCCTCTATTCCTACCTCCTGCCATATTTATTAAAATAACATTATAAAATCCTCTTTCTAGATCATTGGTTTAAACCTAATTGGTATTGTCAGGTAATTATCACTGTGTTTGTTATATTACTGGATTGCATTTGTGAAATCAATCAATGATACCAATCTGATGCTTATTTCAATATTCTTTAGTGGAGTATGTTAAAACATAGATGAAAACTGTTATCAGAATAATAAAGTTGCCTATGGACAAAAAAGTTAGCAGGTTCACAAATATTCTTCATTTTCAGAAGGAACTATACTTTTCATATATCAATTAATACACTATTTTTATGACATTTAGCTAAAACTGGACACCTATTAACTATTGACTTAATATGGAAATAATTAATTATACTTAGTCTAATAGATTATGAGTAAAATTGCTTTGGATACTGGTTTAATTAACCTAAGACATTAACTTGGCACTGATGGCTTGGAAGCAATGTTCCTGGAGAGAAAAAAAAATCTAATGTATTTACAAATAAATGTTTACAATTTAATTCTAATAATAGATATTACACATAAACATATTGTGCTATAAAACAAACTTTGCTATCATTTTTATTGTTTATTTTAATACACATTTTAAAGTATATAAATTTTGGCTACTTATAGTTTTAGAATCATCTTGTCTTCAACAAGAAAAAAGATACCAAAAACTATGTACACACAGCCTACACAGGGGTGCACCTAGAGTGCCCAGCTCAGATGGCTTGGGAGGCTGAGCCACTGGGCCCTACAGGACATCTACCACACAAGACCACTCTACCAATTCCAGGAAACATAGAAGCTCTACCTAAGACATAGAAACATAGGGAAGCAGCAAAAATAAAGAGACAAAGAAACATGACAAATGAAAGAACAGAAGGAATATTCAGAAAAGTAAATTAAATGGAAGCAAACAAACTATAAGATAGAGAGTTTGAAATAATAGTTATATGGATTCTCAATGATCTTAATAAAAGCTTCAAGGGACTTTGTGGGAACTTCAAGGATCTTAGTGAGAATTTCAAAGACACGAAAAAGAACTAGTCAAAATTAAGTATTCAGTAACTGAAATAAAGAATAATTTACATAAATTCAACAGCAGAATAGAGGATTCCAAGAATCAAATCAGTGATTTGGAATATGAAGAAGCCAAAAACACCCAACCAGGAGGAAAAAAAAAAAAAAAGAATCCAAAGATACTGTAAGGAGCCTCTGGGACAACTTTGAGCATTCCAACATTTGCATTATGGGGGTTCCAGAAGGAGAAGAGAGAGAGAGCAAGATATTGAAAATCTATTTGAAGAAATAATGACAGAAATCTCCCACTACCCAGTAAAAGAAATAGACTTATAAGTCCAGGAAGACCAAAAAAGATGAGCCCAAAGAGGCCCACACCAAGACACATCGTAACTAAAGTGTCAAGGGCAAAAGACAGAGGTAATCTCAAAAGCAGCAAGAGAAAAACAGTTAGTTACCTAGCACCCATAGAACTGTCAGCTGATTTCTCAACAGAAACTTTGCAAGTCAGAAGGAAGTAGCAAGAAATATTTAATGTGAGGAATAGCAAGGACCTACAATCAAGATTACTCTACCTAGTAAAGCTATCATTTAGAATTGAAGGTCAGATAAAGATTTTCATAGAGAAGAAAAAGCTAAAGAAGCTCATTAACACCAAACAAGTATTACATAAAATAAAATGTTGAATAGTATTCTTAAAAAAAAAAAAAGGAGAAGGAGAAGGAGAAGGAGAAGGAGAAGGAGAAGGAGAAGGAGAAGGAGAAGGAGAAGGAGAAGGAGAAGGAGAAGAAGAAGAAGAAGAAGAAGAAGAAGAAGAAGAAGAAGAAGAAGAAGAAGAAGAAGAAGAAGAAGAAAATAAATACTTATCTATCAACAATTGCATCTAAAAATCAAAATAAACAAGGAATTTATTGAACAAAATGAACTGATGAATAAAATAGTACCAGAGTCATGGAAACAAAGAACAGACTAATGAACTGATGAATAAAATAGTACCAGAGTCATGGAAACAAAGAACAGACTAATGAGTCTCAGGGGGAAAGGGGTTGGGGGAGGGAAAGCAGGAAGAGATGAATAAAAAATACATATACATATATGCATTTCCAAAGGATACAGACAATAGAGTGGTGAAGGCCTGGGGCAGGGAAGGAATCAGGTGGATAGGGGCAATGGAGGAACAAAGAAAAACATTTGTAATATTCTCAACAATAAAGATTTAAAAAAAAAAAAGAATAAAGGAGAAAAAGTAACATTCAGGTAAGCTAAAACTAAGAGAACTTGCTATTAATGGAACACTCTAAGACTACTTTAAGTGTTTCAGATGAAATGAAAATGCAGCTGAAATTTTAACATGCAGGAAGAAGCAAAGAGGTAGAGTGTGGTAAGATGTGAGTAAATCTTCATAAACTTGAATATTTTAAAATAATAATAATAATAAGATATACAGAATTAGAATATGACAAAAAAAACTATAATTTAAAGGAAAGGATAGATTTCAAATCTTATAAGGTATTTTTTATCATCTAAGAAAAAATAAAGACTTTGAATTGTCTTTTAACAAGCTCCTTAGTCTATAAGAAGTTAAGAATACATATTTTAATGTTTAGGGTATTCAATTAAAGAATAAAAACAGGGTATAACATAAAAAGCTACAGGGGGGAAAAATAGAATAATTGAAAGATCAACCAACCAGAAAGAATGCAAAAAGTAGAGAAAAAGAAAAAGAAGATGCACAAAATAAGGGGTAGGTCATGACTAATGATTTTAGTAATTTAACCATTTGTGTTTTAAATGATCTTGCTGTAGTACTAAGATTATAAGATTAAAAAATAAGCATAAAATTTGAAAACAAATGGATGGAAAATGTACACACTGCAATAATATTTAGAAGACTTGCTAGACATATAAGATCACATCATTATAGAAAATAATGGCCAAGAAAATAAAACTAAATCTACATGGTTTTAATAAGATGGCATTAAATACATAAAAGAATGACAGAAGAAAACACAAGTTTATGACCACAACAAGAGGTTTAATAGTACTACTTGTAGCAATGAAGAGAACAATGGGCAAAAATAATAAGTATATAGAGGAATGTAATAATAATCAATATATTTCATTCAAGGGAACAGGCAAATAAGCAAGTACATTTTAAAAATCAACCGAGTTCTAGACCATAAAAAAGCCAGTCTCAAAAAAAGTCACACAAGCAGACTGTCAAATTACAGCAGGGAGGGTAGGGAGATCTGGGGGAGATAATAGATCAACCGAAGGACTTGTATACATGCATACAAGTACAACCAGGGACACAAAACTCTGGGGAGGGAGGGTTTGTATGGGAGGGGAGGCAATGTTAAAATATGTACACAGATAATAATTTAATTAAAAAATGTAAAAAAAATAAAATAAAATTAGACAGAAAGTTAAAAAAAAGTCACAAAATTTAAATTGTTCAACATTTGGACTTTTACTACAATGAAATAATGTGGGAAATCAACAAGAAAAAGACAAATAAAATATGCTTCTATGGAAATTTGGAAATTTTAAAAAATAGACTAAAAACCTATGGGTCAGGAATGTAAAAGAATGCATCTATATGTTCTCTGCATTTAGAACTATATTTATAGAAAACTATACTTTCTCAAAAACATATGTTAGAAAATAAGGAAGAAAGAAATAAGCATCTGACTTAAGAAATAAAGTCAATAAAATGAAGATAATGACAAGAAAAGAAATTGTGGTATTCAAATAAGCTCAGAGTAAATATAACAAAAAGCAAAAAGTTAATTAATTGAAAGGAATAACAGAGTTTTAATTCTCTGAAAAGACAAATGAGGAAAAACAAAAGTTAGGTACAAATGTCAAGATTGAGAAAGGGACAACTCTTCAGACCCTTTGACATAAAAAAGAAAGTTTTTGATGTGAAGAATGCACATTGCAACTCTCAAAAGCAATATTTGAATAACTTTAAAATTAAAACACCTAATAATATTTTAATTGAATTAACAAATAAAAATATATCATGCAAAACAGAAACAATAAGAAATGAAAACCTGTCATCTTATAATCATAAAATAAATTACATAAATAATAAAAATATAGTTCCAATGAGAAACTTCAATGGCAATTTGCTTCAAACACTTAAGAAGAAATAAATCCAAAATAAACAAAAAATATGCAAGAGAATGGGGAAAATATGTACACTCTTCCGTTTTATTCAGAGAAACATTATATTTATGACTGATTAATCATATATTAGTCTTTTTCCCTACCCAGGAGGAGAGTAGTACAAATTTTTTTGTTTATATTTATAGTATTTAAGTGTAGATACTGAATCTTAGGTATAATATTAAAAATTGGGAATTTCTTTGAAATATATTTCTTATTTTTGACTATCTTTTTGAAATTTTGAATGTATCATAGCTTCATAAATAAAAATATACATATAATATTAGTGGAAATTATTATTTCAACAACTTATTTAAATAATTTCAGCTCATAGATGATCCAGATGTCAAGATCAAACTCAAGATCCAGTCTTTAATTTATCCTGCCCTTCAGTCTCTTGATATGGATTTACCATCTTATCGGGAAAATGCACATTTTTCAACTCTGCCCAGATCACTCATGGTGAGGTTTTGGAGTGAATACATTACCACAGATAGATCACTTGAAAAAGCCATGCTCGTCAATCAACATGTACCAGTGGAATCAAGCTACCTCTTCAAATTTGTTAATTGGAGTTCTTTGCTCCCAGAGAATTTTAAGAAAGGGCACATCTATAGCAATCCAACTCATGGTCCTTCTGAGCTAGCTAGAAAGTATTCAGGGTTTCTAGATGTGAGGGCAGCCCCCTTATTAGTTGATGACAACAAGTTGCGTAGCTTACCCTTGACCTATGTAATCACTTGTCAATATGATGTTTTAAGAGATGATGGAATCATGTATGTCACCCGACTTCGGGATGCTGGAGTTAGGGTGACCCATAACCATGTTGAGGATGGATTTCATGGAATAGTTACCCTTCCTGGATTTAAAATTGGACCAAGAGTAGAAAATCAGTATCTGAGTTGGCTAAGTGAAAATCTATAGTAAATATCTTAGCAGTGGTTTATAAAAATATGTAAGCCTCAAATATAAAACATTAGTGAGAATCAAAAGGTTATGTTTAAATTTCTCTTTATCACCCATGACCTTTCTAAGGTCCTCTGAACTATTGTGATTTTTTGTTGTTTTGGGATTTTTTTTGTTTGGTTTTTGTTTGCTTTTTTACTGAGTAGATTCCCTACTTCTTATTCTAAGTTTTGTGTACTCACATCTGTTATCTTAGAAAATGTCTACATTCTTAAATTTTTTTTCTTGCTACTAAAGTGCCTAAGAGATCACTGGTATTAATTTTGGTATCCTAGAACAGAAATAGGCTGACTCATATTAAGAAGTGGATTTTATAGTAATAGATGGCATTATATTGAAACAAATACTTTGAAAAAAACAGTTGGCACAAAGGTCATATTAGTTAGTGCCTTCAAGATTTTTTCAAGGCACTAAATCCATTTCTGGTATCTTACAAGCCAGATGTGTTTATTTAAAACGTTTTCTTAACAATAATACTATTAGACAATAAAAAAAACTAAGGCTGTAAAATACAGCTATAAGAAATGAGTAATGTCTGTTTTAAAGAAAATGCAATGTTTATTAAAAAATATGTATGGAAATAAAATTGATATAAAAACATTATTTTGTTTTGAGGGAACAAATTGGAGGATTTATAGATTGCAAAGCAATATAAAGCTACCAGTCAAGATAGTATGGCATTTCAATACAGATAAGCAAATAGATAATACAATAGAATCTAGAAACCAATTCATATATTTAGAGTCAATTGTTGAGATAAGATTGCCAATATAATCCCATTCCAAAAGTATTATATATATTTTAAATGGTGATTAAACATTTGAGTATTCATATAAAATACCCTTAACCCTGATCTTGACTTACTTCACATTATAGAAAAAAAATTAACTCAAAATGACTTATTGATCTAAACATAAAAACCTAAATTTTAAAACTTCTATAAATTTTACTTTTTTAGATAGGACTACATTTTACTTGAATTGTTGCATTATATAAGCTATCATTATATTGTAGTGTCAGTTGTGTGGACTATTTCCAATATTACACAAAAAACACAATCTACGCACTGTCAACAGGCTGACTTAGTGAAAATGATTTCTTGAACACTGATGTAGCACTGTAATGTGCGTAGTTGAATATTTCATGAAGAAAGCAGGAGCTTTGCAGTATTTTTGTAAATCTTAATTGGAAATTACATTGAAATAGTTAATCATTTTATTTACAATTCAGTCCTTTTTTTAGTTTGAAAAAAATAAGTTGAACACATTTTAATGCCTAAAATGAATGTATAAGACTAATGCAGTCAAGCAGAGATGCATAAGCTAGTGCAGTTCCTGAAATAGCTACAAAAAGATAAGACTGGAAGAAAGTGTATTTAAAACTTTATAGCAAGTGGCAGCTGAGATTTTTCTGTAGCAGAGAAAAACAATACGCTACTTGTCTGTTGTATAAAACAAATTGTGAAAATAATAAAGTGGATAACATGAATAGACATAGTAGCTTATGCATAATTTATAAATTATTTTTAATGTGATCTGAGTTTATAACTTTGTCCAATTAGAGTTTGGATTCTGACACAAAAAAAGAAAATTATTTTTAGATAAAAAGGTCGTAATAGATAGTGATAAAACTACATATACACATAAATATATATGTAGTTTTACATAGGGCATATATATTATGGTGTTTGTTAGAAAATGATGAAATAAAGGCTAAAATAATTGTTCAGAAAAGTGAAATATTTTAAATATTTGTAGGATTTAAAACAATTATATGTAGGATACAAATAATCATATGTAGGATGCAAAATATTTGTAATAATACCAAAGATCAGTAAATTAAAAATTTGGAAAAGCGCCAACCCTTTTAGTTTTAGATAACTTGTGTGATATGAGATCTATCAATTAATACTCTGGGTATGTTTTTTCTAAAAAATACTCCAAGTTCATGGGCACACACACACACGTCCACTTGTGACCAAAAATACTGAACTCATGATATGGGTATGTTTGAATATTCTATATCCATCAAAAAATAATTTTAACTAGTCATAAAAAAATTATCATCACAGAAAGTGCTCTAGCTGGGTGTGTTAGGCAACATTCAAGACTTCATGGAATTTTTAAGCAAAAGACCACTTTTTCCTACTGCTTCAGTCCCCTGTGTGGTATCAACTGAAAGGGTTTGGCTCAGCTATCTGGAAATAACTGTGAAAAGTACCATGAATAATCTTTTCTAAATTTTTATATATATGTGGAAATGTTATGAATCATTGCCAGTTTGTGAATCTATTGAAATAAATAAAATATGATTTTAATCCTCTTGTGGTCTTTAAAAAATGCTTGTTGTTGAGTCATTAGAGAGTTTTACAAAGATTTATTATACTATTCATTCACTTTAAGGTTTTCTTGAAACAAAAGGAATGTTTGCCAAATGTACTATTGTGTTCTATAAAAAACGACAGTGTAACTTGTTTCTCATATGAATAAGCTAACTCTGAAACTCCAAGTAAAGAAAAGCTTACTTGTGACCTAGCTAGACAGGTGCCAAATTTTATATTGAAATACACACTTTTTATTATCAGAATCAGTGATAATGGTTTGTGCACATTTCTAACAGGAATCAATATACAGAAGGTGTTAACATACAACTGAAATAATTTTATAAATTGGCTGCAAAAAGAACAAGAAATATTGGAGAACATTCATGGCTATTGATAAATTTAGAGCCTTTTTCAATTTAGTCATTGCTCCTTTAATTTTTGTGTTAATTATATTGAATTGACACAAGAGTTTTAAAATTTACTTACATTTGATAAATATAGTTTTGAAACTGATATGTTTTTGCTTAAGAGTCAAATGAATTATTTTGTTAATGATGAAGCAATTTGTCAATATGGATGGATGCGAATAATAAAGGAAATTTATTTTTGTACTTAATTTATTATTGGAAAACTTTTCAGTGTGCTCATGAAAATTTGAGTATGTGATTCTATAGTTTCAATAATAATTTCATAAAGGATTAGTACAAAAATATCTTATTTTATATTGATAAAATATTGCTAACATTAAATTTAAGCTATTTTTAGCCTTTATTGATGTTTATGCTAGAAAATTTAAAATTACATATGTGGCTTGCATTTGGAGCTCACCTATTTCTAATGAAAAGCAGTGATGTAAGGTATTATAACTTGTTTTTGTTATGTATGGAATTTTTACAAAGTTCACTTTAACTCATTTTAAAACCAATTATAAATACTATGTGATCATTTTTGGAAGCTTTGTGGGAGCGTCAAATAAATTAGTTATCTTTGGATAGGAAAATACATTAAATACATATAAGAAATATCCTGGTATATATTTTACTGCATGTATTATTATATGTGTAGTTACAACTCCTTGTTAAAAGAGATACTAAGCCCTGGCCAAATGGTTCAGTTAGTTGGAATGTCGTCCTGATACACCAAGGTTGTGGTTTCAATCTCCAGTCAGGGCAAATACAAGATTCAACCAATGCCTGACTGGTTTGGCTCAGTGGATAGAGCGTCAGCCTGTAGACTGAGAGGTCCTGGGTTCGATTCTGGTCAAGGGCATGTACCTTGGTTGCAGGCACATCTCCAGCAAGGGATGTGCAGGAGGCAGCTAATTGATGTTTCTCTCTCATCAATGTTTCTAATTCTCTATCCCTCTCCCTTCCTCTCTGTAAAACAATGGATAAAATATATTTTTTAAAAAGAGTGCACCAATGAATGCATAAATGAGTGAAACAACAAGTTAATATTTCTCCCTCTCTCTCCCCCTTTCCCTGTCTCTTTTAAATCAATACATTTTTAAAAAGAGATACTAAAAAGAAAGCAAACATTTAAAAAGAGGTTTAATTTATTTGACTGTAAGAAAGGCATTATAATTCCTTTACAGTTAAGGAAAATATTATTGAACAAATTAACAGAAAGGCTATTGTGCAACAGCCTCTGAGTTTGGGATTGGACAGATAGCCATGCAACAAGTTCTCAGTGTGAAGTCTCCGTTAGTCGAGAAAAACAGATATGGGAATTAATACATGACTTGGACTTTAATAGAAATATACCTGTAAACATATGGGTGCCTAGGTCAGGGCCCAGCCTGTCCACGTGCTCTCTTCAGTGAGGCGGAGATGTAAGCTCATATCATAAACCCCATTGCACTTGGAGTGTTTTCTAAGCCACGGAGCTTGCCAGACTGAGGAAATTCCAAAACTAGGTGATGATATTGGCTCTTTCTTCAGCCTTGTTGCAAGCATGCAAAGTCTTGGCACTCAGAGGTTGCTGCATGGCAGTTGAAACTCCTGACTAGGGGAAAGAGGCTCCCCAGGATTGTTTGTGCTGCCTGCCTGATTTATAGCCATGTGGGCGAGCCCATGAAGGATATGTAGCCAACTTTTCACTTTCTAGTCCACAGTTCTCTCCTGCTTCCCGTCATACAACCGGTGACCCTGCCAGATGGAGGCAGTGCATTGCAATATTAACAATTGGCATATATCTAAAGCCTTATGGGCATGAGTTATGATTTCTGTTCAGTGTTGGCCTTGTGTCTTTCTGCTGCAGTAAATATCACTTTAAATTCCTTTGGACCGTCAACAACCAATGAGGATCCATTTGATAGGTTAGTTGGAGTCAAGATAGTTTTCCTAGATGGGGTGAGGAGATTGAGAGGAGGAAATGCAACCACTTTCATACTGGTTTCTCTCGTGTGAGATTTTTTTAAAATATATTTGTATTGATTTCAGGGAAGAAAGGAGAGGGAGAGAGAAATAGAAACATCAATGATGAGAGAGAATCATTGATCAGCTGCTGTTTGCATGCCTCCTACTCGGGATCAAGCCCACAATCTGGGCATGTGCCCTTGACTGAAATCAAACCTGGGACCCTTCAGTCCGCAAGCTGACACTCTATCCACTGAGCCAAACTGGCTAGGGATCGTGTGAGTTTTTTTGTTTTACAATAGCCACAATATTTCAAGGTTGTGAGCACATTTCTGAATCCTTTGGTATTCATTAAAATGCTGAAATGAACTCGGTGAGAATTATATACTCTCAAATTGCAACCTTTGCTAAGCATGTGAGAAAAGCTTTAATTTGCGATTGGAAACATTAAAATATTAACACTTCATTGGTTCACAGAAAATAGAATCCTAGGTTTTAGATATAATTTAAATTCTAAATGCCAAACATTTTGGGAACTTATTCATACCTGCAACATGGGAAGCCACATATGTCCTGCCTGTGTGAAAGTTTCTGTGAATCTAAGTGAGACTGAATTCAGAAGAAAAAAAAAAAGTTGAGAATTTGGTTTACCAACAAACTTTTATGTCAGTATTCTTACAGTGTAGTGTAGGAAGGCTTGGCATGTCTCTATTTTTAGTCCTCATTTGTTCTCTAGTACACAGATCCTTGTAAAGGGAACATTCTTTCCCCTAGGCAACATGCTTCTCTGTACTCCACCTTTGCTCACGGGTGAGGAGGAAAACTTTCCCATCAATTCATTCTTGGATGGAAGTACATCTTGCATAATCTTATGTACTGTGCATTATCTAAAAGAAGCAGTGTGATCCAGGTGGACAGCGGGGTGGGGAAGGAGGAATTGTTTTCATATTTGTGTAAAAGCTTTATGTCTTTAATTCAAAAACTTTCACTTAGAAGACCTGGTGCCTTTTATCTATTTTTAATGGACTAATAATCCATCCGCAATCAAGGAGCAGGGAGTTTTGGTTCCCATGGGCACTATGCCTTTATTCAACTCCACTCACTGCACTGCACAATCTTGGCCTTTTCTATAAGGCCACCTGGTTTGCAGGAATAGTTCCTAGGGCTTGTGCATTAAATTGTCCCTCTTCATAGTTCAATCCACCAGTTTAGGCAACACCAAGGAGTAGATTTTTTTTTTTAATATATATATATTTATTTTATTGATTTTTTTACAGAGAGGAAGAGAGAGAGAGAGAGAGTTAGAAACATCAATGAGAGAGAATCATCGACCAGCTGCCTCTTGCATACCCCCTACTGGGGATGTGCCTGCAACCAAGGTGCATGCCTTTGACCGGAATCAAATCAGGGACCTTTCAGTTCCCAGGCCGATGCTCTATCCACTGAGCCAAACCGGTTTCGGCAAAGGAGTAGATATTTTTTTAAATGGGTAATGGATTAAGTCAGATCCATCCAGGCATAAATATAGTGTTCTTTCTCACTGTCATGTTAATAATAATATAGTATATAGTGTTAAGAGTAGCAATTACAACATTACCATTTATTGGAAACCTAGTAGTTAAATCCAAATGACCCCATTCAATATGAGTTAATATGCCTTTATTATAAATGAAATTATTGCATCAAGAATAATATAAGAAATTTCCTGTTGATCATACAAGTAGTGAATCATACAGGTAAGTTTCAATGATAACATCTATTAAATGAGAAGCATAATGCAGCCTTATTCTGGTTTTTAAATAATAATCACCTCATTACATAGGCTGTGATTGAATAGAGGACAGGCTTTGCTTTTTTTACATTGGTCTTTTTCAGAACTCCAGATTCTCTATTTCTAGCACACGGCAAACTTTTGATTACATTGGAATTGAACTGGCCTCAAAGTGATGAATGCCAGAGTGCAACCTGCTCCAATCCCAGCTGAAGTCCACTGATCCTAGCATTCTTTCTTCATAGAGCTTTTGAATTTCTCTCTCTTCTTTCTTCTTGGGACTATGTAAATGAAAGGTAGAGGTTGGTTAGACAGAATTCACTAGGGCTTCCAGCTCACACAGTGAAATGCATCAAAAAGACAACCTGCTCAAAACTGCAATATTTTGAAAATGCACACACACACACACACACACACACACACGACAGGTGAATATGGTGTAATCTGGGGAGAAGAGCGGCTGCTGAAGAAGAGTGACAGAAGCACATCAGCACTTCCTCCTCTGCCTCTCTTAGAAAGGAACACTTTTATGAGCAGGAGAGGAGGGCACTGGGGAGAACTCACCGCAGCTCCATGAGGAACCAAACTTAGCAGCAGCAACAAAACTTTCTGCCCTGTGGGAGAGGCAGCATTTATATTGAAAAATGTTATAGTTTATAAAATAGTCTTTCCCCCCCGAGCTTTATTGAAGTATAACTGAGAAATAAAATTGTAAGTTATTTAATGCATACATTTCTCTTCTATTTATTACTGTGACTTATTAATTTTATGTTCTTTAAATTATATATATATATATATATAATTTGTGTTGAACAAGGCAAAAATAAATGAGTGAAAGAATAGAAAGAAATGTGACATTTTCCCATGGGCCTTAAACTGCCATTTATTTCTATCCAATACCTTCTACCTATAGTCAAATTATAAAGCAAAAACTATATATTGTATTTATCTATATCTATCTATATTTTTATCTATCATCTATCTATCATCCATCTATCATCTATCATCTATCTATTATCTAGCTAATTCTGAGCTAATTACCAGGTAGACAAGAAGTTCATTGAGTCATTTCCTGAGGAGGAAAAGACATTTATAAATATTAAAAAGTGCCTGGGTCTGGTCCGTTATTGGCTGTAATAATTAGGAATCGAAAAGCAGCTCTCCAAATAGTACCAATGTGTAGGGAGCGGTTATAGGGTTAAGCCTCGGACTGATCTGTTGGCAAAGCCAAAAAAAGTCCCAGTTTAAAGGGCACAGTCCTCTTAGCATAATTAAGCTTGATCTTGTGACACTCCCTAGATCTTTCCTGGGTAGCTAATGGACTGTGGGAGGTGCAGCAAGTGCTGCCAAAACAAGTGAAAAGACATTGTAAATTACCTTGTTTACCTTGGACTGTAAAATAAAGGCTCAGCTTGCAGTCTGGATCTGTTCTGTGGCCTCAGCCAGGCACAGAAGATCCACCTAGATCCAGCTTACTATCTTTGTCTGTCTTTTCTTCATCCTTCGCCAGCCCTCCCTCAGGCTTGACGGACCCTTGGCTGTGCTGGTGCAGCACACCGATGACTCCATATATCTGTATACAATAGGTTAAAACAAGCCCCATAGATCATTAGTTACAGAAGAACCTTCAGTTGGATTCGGGTCACAGTTACGTAAAGTGTGTGGCTCTCTAAGAGCATGTAACAAGAGAGTTCTAGTAAAGCACAGCATTAAGTTTGTATTCTCTCAGGGCCAGTACTGCTGTGACTGAAATTTTTACTTTTATACCATCTACTCTCCATGCAGAAATTCTCTTGTAAATACAGAAAAAGGTGGATATCTAAATTCTTTTCCCTGTGTTCCTTGAAAGAATAGTTACACACACACACACACACACACACACACACACACACACACACACACCTCACCTTAAAGTCAGCAAAATTAGCTTAATAACACACCTAAAACATTTCCATTTCTGATATGATTCAGTGGAGTTACTCAACATCATGTGAATAGAGGTTATATACAGATTAACCAGGATGGATTTTCAAAAGAGCAAGAAGTTATATATTAAGCTGAGAAATGCACTTTAAAAATTGGACTTACAAATTTTTATTTCCATGCCTTTTATTTTGCAAGGTCCTTTGTCCTTTTCCAGTCTATCAAACAATTAATTTTCTAAGACTTGATTCAAAGTTACCTTTGCAGCAAAGTTTTCCATGATTCATTCCAAATGACTCCATTCACTACATAGCTCCTAAGATAATCAATGGCATTTGATTATTTGGCTTTTATTAAAGATATAAGGAAAATAAAGACATATCAGTAAAAATATGTAAAAAAAAAAAACATGTTTGAATTCTTTTTCTTTCCTCTCCTCTAAGGGCAATGTGCTCTACTATATTTTCCAAATTCTGAAAATAAATAGACTTTTCTCCAAGTAGCTGTTCCACAAATATTTGTCCAGTGATTAACGATGCAATCTTGTCGGCAGATTTAATAGAACCTGCCTGGGGAGAGTGATTTGTGTTACAAAGCACGCACTGGAACTTGCACTTTTATCAGCAACTCTACCTGTTGATACTTGTCACATGAAAATCTGGTATGTTGCCGAAACTGGTTTGGCTCAGGTTCGATTCCGGGCAAGGGCATGTACATTGGTTGCAGGCACATCCCCAGTAGGAGGTGTGCAAGAGGCAGCAGGTCGATGATTCTCTCTCATCGATGTTTCTAGCTCTCTATCCCTCTCCTTTCCTCTCTGAAAAAAAATCAATAAAATATATATTTAAAAAAAAAAAGAAAAGAAAAGAAAATCTGGTGTGCTTCTGAGGAAACGATGTGACTGCAAAATCAGATAATCATTTGAATGGGACTTGCCCAAAGTCTATTTAGTTGCAGAATTGAAGTAACGTAATAGTCTTGTTAAAGATATGATACGTTATAATATGGGGGATAATCCTTTTACTTCCTGATATTGGGAGTCCTCCTAGCATATTATATTTTCATACCACTTCCAGATGTTAAGGAGTAATGAAAAATAAGGCTGTTTAATGCTGTTATAAAAATAGCATCATATTTGGTAAGTGAAAATATTTATTAACCAAGAGAGGAAAGTTTTCTAAAGCTCTAATTTGGGTTTGGTTTATTTTTATTGTTATCAAGTTGTTCAAATGGGTTTTATATCCCAAAGTCCTTGTAAGCTATGGTGTAGGTCCTGGGAGAGTTGGTACTTCTGAAGATAGTGCTAGAGAGAATTCAGCTGCACCAGTCACTCAGCAGATAAAATGTTTAGCATTTTAATTTATTATGTTTTCTTTCATTTTTAATTTAATAATTGTTGATATACATTTAAATGATAAATACAGTGTTTTCAATATTTTTTTCTTTTAGTTATATAGGGAACATTGAGAAGAATAATTTCATGCTTTAATACTGATTTTTAATTAAAATACTGATATAATTTCCTATATACTATACCAGCCTTTTGGGTGAAGAAAAAAAATCAATAATGATAGTAATAACAATAATTTGAAAGTCAGCATATTGCATGTATTCTGAATATAGTCAGAATATACTTTAAAGGATGTTGTATAACATTACATAATATGTGGATGAATGCTCACAGCAGCAAATATAGGTCATCACTAGGAGAAGGCAACATGAACCTAGGTTTCAAACTGCTCCTAAAAATACCTATTTTTATTTGAACAAACAATAGTGAGTTGAAGATAGCCAGGTACAAAGGCAAATAGAGAAATGAGAACTAGGTAACAGGAACAGCTAGATTCAAATATTATCATAATTAGAAAAAATGTTTTAATAGAATGTATTCTGATAGCTCTTAGTGTATGATTTATAATTTTCTATATTGATAATCATTGTATTCAAGTCAATCAAACTGAAACAAAGGAATCTAACCCATATATTGGTAACATTACACAAAGAATGAATTTCTAGTAACCTTTTGAGTATTTGACTCAAGTGGAAGAATTTAAGGTAGAAAATAGTATAAACAAATATTAATGATCCTTTGGTGATGGTATGAATCTTACTATTGAAAATTTGAGATAATTTCTTATATTTCAATGTAAAGCAGGCATGAAACAATATTAACAAAAAAATCATGTTAATAAAGATATACAGCTAAAGTGAAGTAAATGCAAGCCCAATCTGTCTTGCTCCAAAAAGAATAGCTGAGCAAAGAAGTAATTTCACGTTTAAGAAATAGATTCTGCATCAGTAATAAGAAACTATTATGGTATAACAAGATAAATAAATGTGTGCTATTGGTGAGTTAGTTCATCTTTCTCTGCTGCAGTTTTTATATTTTTAATTATAGACAATGTCAGTTAATCAATGCTTATGAGGAGAAATCAATGAAAAAGCCAAGTAATATCACTAATGTTAACTTTATTATTTTTTTTTCTATTGATCAATTTCTTTCCATGAAGAAACCAAGACTGCTGGAGCGTCCCTTAAAGAAAAGACCTCAAAGCAGCCCTTGAATGATGAGGACATAATCCCTACAGGGCCAAGAGGGGGAGGGGAGGTTTCAATAACAAGTAAAACAGAGTCAGCCTATTTCAGGGGAAAAAACCATCATCACAGGAGAGTGAGGCAAGCAAGAAAGTGGGCAATGTTCAAACAGGAATAATCCAGAAAGGCACAAATAGAAACATCATTGAGTCAGGTGGCTGGAATACAAACAAAATAGAATTTGCATTAGTTTCCTGTTATTACTTAACCTTGAACTTGTGCTCACATGCTTATCTAAGGATAGGCAGTGAAATCTAAACCTCATTATGCCAACCCTAAAACTAGGTGTGCAACTCTGTGTTCACAAATTAGATAGAGCTCTTGGTGGAGCTGAAGCACAAGGCTGAGTACACCATGCTGACATATTAGGCAAGTTTAGTCTCTGTTTCAGGGATCAGAGAAGCATAGGAACTACATCATGGGAAGAAAATCCATGTGCCTTCTGATCATGGGGGTCCTTTTAGCATATTGTGTTTATTTACTTTCTGCCACATGATTTTGAGGAGCCATGGAGAATAATATGGTTGAAGACATATATGAAAACTATAGTACATTTGGTAAATTTGGAGTTTTATGAACATGTGCATGTGCAACCATTTGATCTGGAGGAGTGATTTTCCCATGATTTTGACCCTTTGGTTTTTTTCATTAATTTATTGGTTGATCAATTTATTAATCTTTTAAAAACAAACTTTGCAATTCTTTGTCTCTTTTTTATTTAAAACATTGCTAACTTGTTTGCTTGGTTTCTAGTTTCTATATCAGAATCGTGTTTAAAAAAATATTAAGAAAGCCAGGACTGTGTAGCTCAGTGGTGGAACATTGACCCATGAGCCAGGAGGTCATGGTTCAATTCCTGATCAGGGTATATGCCTGAGTTTGGGGCTTGATTCCCAGGAGGAAGTATATAGGAGACAGAAAATCAATGTTCTCTCTCATCATTGATTTTCTGTCTCCCTTTCCCTCTTCCATTCTTTGAAACTAGTAAAACAAAAATTAAAATTAAAAAAAAATAAGAAGAAAAATAAGTGAGGAAGCATTTGAGTAGCTTTTACTAAAAATGCTTTGTTTAGGTAGCATTAATGCCATAAGAGTGGTGTTTGTTTGCAATTAGATGTTTGATATCTTAGATATTGTTTAGCATTTAGTTAATCAGCAAACCAGAGATCTCTGACTCTGCAGCACTGTGTTAGAAACTTTCAGTAATTTTTGGATCCAGAGTGTAGACATGTAAGTAAGTTCTCAAGGAAATACTGTCAGTCTGCTGGTTAGCAGGTGCTCAGGTTTAACAATAAGAGGCATGATGTGCAGATATGGAGGAGGAGACCCTGGAGTGTCATGGTGACTGCCTGCCTGCCTGCCGGCCTCTGACTCTGGTGGTGGCCGGGGGGGGAGGGGGGGGGAATGTGACCCTGTCTAGCTTCATGGGGATGTTTTTCTATTTCTTCCATGGATGAAACTCCCGGATTGTAACTCTCAGATTTATGTTTTATTTCTCATTTATTCAATAATTGAATTCTTTTAGGCAAAGAAATCTTATTAG